CTCCGTGCCCCCGACCATTATGTGTGTAATATTTTTTTTACTTTATTTTGACCTTACCCAGAGGTGCTTTTCCAAAATCTCATTTTTCATACTTTTTCTGAGATTTTTTGCAGGTAGTAAATATATGATTTCTTAAGGGGATCGACCTGGCTAAAATCGATCAATTTTGGCTTTTCCGGTTTTTCTACTCATCTTAAAGCTGGAATTCTGCTCTTTCAAATGGTACCACTGCCATCTCTCTACGTGAATATTTACGTTCATGACGGCTCTTTAAACGGAGGCGGGTGGGAGAGTTCTTTAAGAAATTATATACAAAGTAAATAAATGCTGAAATCTTTGAATATAGTTTCTACCTGAGTTGTGCTGCAGTTACTTGCTTAGTTTCATCCTAAAGCTGACATTCTGAGCTTTAAAATGATACTACTGCGATGTATGTAAGCCAAAATTGACGCACATGGCCGCCCTTTAAGGGGGGGCGGGGGGTGGGGTTCCTTAACATTATAGCCCTGCTAAAATTACGGCGCCATGACTACATAAATAGCAGTATCTGGCAACTGGCTTCAGTCACCCTCCTAACTTCGTACGGAGAGGTGCGCTACAAGTTGCTGCTGGCTTCCTTGAGTGGACTAAGCTTCAGAAGCCAGCAGTTCGGAAGCCTTGCTACATTGAGTGCCTATTTCNGGACATAAAACTAGTAGATCTATTGATAGTGCTGTGCACTGTGCTATCAGCTACCTATCTGTTATGTGACTCTTCAATGTTTAGAATATCTGCATTCCTGAAGTGTTTTTGTATGTTGAAGCCAGTTAAATGGTCAATATTTAGCTCATTACCTTGCTCCATACAAACTTTACAAAGCTAATGAATAGACTAGACAAAGCTAATGAATATATCAATAATTGTTTACCCAAAAATCCCTAGGTGGTGAACACCACCTTGGCCTGTTGGCCATTATTGAAGGCAATAAGTGCCCTTATTAGCCATCCATTATGATCCATATCCTGTTATTGTTAGTAGGCTAATTGCAACATAAAAAATAACACCTCAAAAATACAAAAAAGCTGAAAAAATAAAAAAAATCATGAAAAAATAAAAAAAATCATTGATTTTTTATTTTTTTATTTAAAAAAAAATCAAAGAAATTGCCAACCCTGGTCCCAGATAACCCCATTCCCATTGGTAGTTTGGATGCATTATTTTGTGTCTGGCACCTGAGGAATGACAGATGGAATTTTTTCAGAGATTCCATACAATAGCCCTTGCAAAGACCTTTAACATGAGCCCAAACTCGTTTATGAAACTTTTCATGGTAAGAATTTATTAACAAAAAACAAAATAAATCATCCCTCATTATGCCATTTGATGGTATATTGTACAATGGAATCATGCAATAATAATAATGCCTTAATGTGTCTTATTTTATTTCTTTACCTCACAATTGTCTTGTGTATCTTATTAATCATATATTGTTTCCTTGATGTAATATATAAGCTGAGCACAAGTTAATGCAACCTAAATCTTGCAAGTCCATATGTAATGCACTTTTGCTAGTCTGCACCCCTGATTGCTGAAATGGATATTCACTGGTTACACCCGATTCTTTACTGACTCATCAAAAGCCTGCTTACGACTCTATTGCCCAATTCAATCTACACCTCTGCTTGCTAATCCCATCCTGGTGCTCCATTGTGGTGAGTACAGTTCATTTCATCTCATTAAAATGTCACCATGCTACTAATTTTTCTTTGCTGAGCTCTTAACAAATGTTTTCCAGTTATTCAGTCCTGTTAACAAAGAATGATGGATGTTCTCAGCAGTTCTTATGTTAATCTTGTCCTTTTATTTCACAATTTTCATTGTTTGCTTAGTTTAACCATGTTGTGTCCACCCATGAATAACTTTACTTTCTGCACTCCATGCATTCATGACTTTGTGTGTTGGCTAATTAGTTTTAAACATACTCCTGATCTCAATATTCCTAGTAGGCCAGTTCTTCTGCATTTATTTGAGGTTTAGGGGAGGTTGATGTGGAGCTGCAGTCTTATTGATGATGTCTTTAAAACATCTTTCTAAGATCACTCAACCAACTCCTGGCCCTACAGAGAGAAGATGAAGCCATTCCACAGATCAACCAAATTTTGTCTTGGATACTGACTTGAGATGGATGAGCTTTTGTTTTTCCTTGATGCTTTGGGCCCAGACTTATGTGACTTTGTCCAATTAGGTATCTAGTTGTTCCTAGGGGTAATTGCTTATATACTGTATATACTGACTTGCTCGACTTAGTGGGGCCAGTTGTCTCTTATGATCCCCTGAACCCACTCATGAATACTCTATACATCAGCGAGGGAATCATATTATTGGGTCAATGATAGTTGGAACTTTATTCTGACCAGCTATATTGCAGAAAGGGCAAATTGGGTTTTGCATATTCAATTCTTGGATTGTACAAATGCTTGCTTTTGTCATGCTTTACTTGCATTAATGCTCAACATTTAGGTATTGTGTGACATAGTTGCTCAACATTTAGGTATTGTGTGACATAGTCTGCTTATTTATTCCTGTTGTATCTGACATTTTGTGTTTTGTTTTCATGTTTCATGGCTTCCTGAAAGTGACTCCTGACCACATTAAGCACTCAGCACAGACTCAGTAGCTAGTCTCACATATTTGGGCAGCTTACCAAGAACCACTACAGCTCCAATACAATCTTCCTTTCAGATAAATACAACTCAAGCAGATGTGCATAGTGTCCCATGCTCATATATTAACCTCTACCCAAGGATTAGGTTTGTTGACTAAGGTAGTGAGGGATAAGTAAGACACATCTGTCGAGATAGTGTATCTAATATACGGGGTGGTTATACATTACATTTCAAGGTGGTGTCAGACGCCATCTACTCAGACTTAAGATGAGTGAATCTGATTAATGTGCTACATGCAACAATGTGGATACTATTGAGCACTACCTGCTACATTGTCAGGATCATGCACAGCTCAGACAAAAGCTGAAAACTAATTTAAAATGTATGAATGTACAATTTTCTCTGTGTGACTGGCAATAGCAAAGGCTCTCTTCATCAAGGACAAGTCTCCTACTATCAATTTGAAACCACCAGATTTGTCATGATGTGGATATTTTTCTCAGAGTAATTTAAGTTTCGATTTAACTACATCTAAGATATAAATACCGTATTTAACTATATCTACGACACATGTACACATCCATTGTGTGTACATATGTCATTTTCAATTTTCAATTTTGAGCATTGTAAATAACTCTTCACCTACTTGATAATTATTACTGCATATTCAAAACTTGAAGTTACCCATATAATCAGACAAAATTACAAATTGCCCTTCTCACTTATTTAAGTTCCTATTGAAGATAATTCCTTGATCACCAATGTTTACCAAAAACCTAGAATGTCAGAAAAGTGCTAAATGAAGAAAGTGAATGCCCTCCAGCAGTGCTTAACCAGCACTGTGTGTGCTCTCATACAAAGAGTATTCAAGAACTGCACATCCGAGAGCTATTTAAAAATTGAACTTAGAACTTGTAAACAAATCTTAGTAAATAATGCATTTTCAAATAGGACAGTCAACACTGAAATATCAAATTATTACTAGAGACAGAAAGCTGAAGCAAAATTTAATGAAACCATCACAACAATCATCTAGCAAAACCAGATGAACAGCGGCCACAAAGTAGATGAACAAGTCCTTCAGTCAATCATCCATAATAATATCAAGAGCACAATTGCTAACAAAAAAACTACTTGTCTACTACAAAATTAAGAAAATTAAAAACCTTGTCATGAATAATAAACCTTTATAATAAATCTGCACTACAAGAAACTGATGTCATTTGTAAATTTTCATGTAATATAAAAGGTTTCAGATTTCTTCATGATATAAACTACATTGGTCTTACTAGCTCAACCTTAAGCCACCAACTCATATGCCATCTACAATCTGGAGGACCTTATAACCACACAAAGGAGGCTCACAATGAGACTATCACCCAAGCAACACAGGAAGCCTGCACTAGCATAGTTATGCAGTGCCCTGAAGCTTTGAGACTGGCAATAGCTGAGGCCTTCATTATCAAGATTAAGTCTTCAGCTATCGCCTTGCAACCTACAGGATTATTCCAGATGCTGGAATCATTTTGGCAGTAATTTTAAGTTTAGATCTCAAACTGTATCCACATCACTCATGACTTGTACTACCATCATTTTCAAAAATTCCATTCCAAGTGTTGCAAAATCATCAATTGCTTGATGATGAATATTGTGTCTGCTAATAATCTCAGTCAAGTCATATAGCTGGAAATTAGTTGGCTGAAGCTGATCCTGTATCATCAATGCCACTAACCTCGCCACAGTACTTATGTCTCCAGCCTGGATTTGATTTGAGACGTGGTGACCCTGGAAAAGATATTTAGTAGTTGGGCCTTAAATCAGCTAGCTGCCATGCATCACATATTTGTTAATGTTGGTAAGAGGACTGGAAAGTGGGGACTGGGGTTTCAGATAGGAAGCTAAGAGCAATATTAGATCGTAGGCTAGAGAGGTGGGAAAGTTTTTGTTGGTCCATTACTGCTGTGTCACATTTCTTGTACTGTTGTTTTTGAAATTAATATCAGATATATATTGTGAGCTCCCAGGCCAAATCTGGAATATTAGGCAGATTTTTCCTAAAATTACATGTAAAAACAAGCATTTCATGGGTGACTAAAATTGTAGGTGGCAATAGGCGGTTTTTCTTATTTTTTGCTAAAGAAATAGGGTAAGGGCCATAGGTCCAGGTGAAATAGGCTTGATTCACAGGTGTTTTTGTCTGATGCACCTCTAGCTTCTGCCACATTTTTCAGTTTGGTACTTTGGTCCCTGGCAATAAATAATTATTTGTTGCTTTTGTATTGTTAATACTTCTATATTATCACTTCCTCTAAAGAAACAACAAACTGAGCCATAACAGCACAGAACTATTTTGAAAAATTTTTATTTTTAGTAGACCAAATTTCACCTGCAGTGATCATCAAAATGTGAGCATCAAAAGTCATTGATACAGCAAACAAATGCTTATGTTCCTTGTAGCTTGGATTATGTTACAAATGTTTAAATTATGACATTTGTTTGAGGCCTCTACTGTACTTTCTAAAATTTTCTACAGTATTATTATCATTGCTGTCAATGTTTTAGACTAGAAATATCAACCTCAGTGATTTAAAATTTTACTCGTGTGAGAAGATGGCATCCATTACTACCAAAGAATGCAGGGTTATGCTGCACCAACTCTCAGATGCTGCCGTCTGCAGTGGCGAACACATTGAGCCAAGCCTCTCTCAAGCATCTTCTAGTGCTGGCAAAGTAGAGGCTGAAGGTAAGCCTAATTCCAAATTTCAATTCCATGTTCCTCATCAATTTAAACATCAGAGACTAAAAAATCTGAGTTAAAGTACTAAGTTTCTTAGGAGTTTAAATACAATATATGATGAAATAGTGTGAGAATAAACCACCTTGTGAGTCACTCATTTGAGTGCTCTGAAATTTTTTGTGTAAAGCTCACATGACTCCTTAGTTTCATGAATGTTATATGTATTTACTGTTAAATGTCTTGTTCCACAGTTTGATAATAGAAGGACATAAATGTATTTATTTTCCAGCCTTGGAAATGGTCGACCCTTCTCCAGTCATCAAAGTTTCTGCTATCTCCATAAAAAAAGAGCTTGATGATGAAACTGAGGACATATCCATCAAAGAAGAGCCATTCTTGTATGGAAATGAGGTATAGGTAGATTGAGTTTATATGTCTATGAAAATTTTGTAATGAATTTCATTTGTAATTTTTGCATTTGAAATGGCAACATTGCCACCACAAATCTTCATGAAAAATTGTCAGAGTGTTATTTCTATACTTCAAATCTATTCATAATCTATGGTAGTACATGTCATGAGAGATATCAAGATTTATCAAGAGATATATCTTTTTCGTGCATTATGTCTTCCGCATTAAGGAATTATTATTTGGAATTAGGAACATGTGTCTCAATTTAGTACTGGGCAAGACGTAATGAGAAATATGGTTTAGTAATACTTGAATTATATTTGCCATTCTAAATACAAACTCACAAATTTTTACTATTATTGCCCGTAGCCAAATAAAAATGAAACATAATGACCATTATTGGCAAAATTACACATAGAACTGTCATAACTTTTCTTTCAATAATTAGTTCTTTTCTGCTTGTCAATGAATTGATGAAAATTGGGTAGAAAATTGCAAGGAATAGCTATAGAGAACAAGCCACCACATCATTGTCCTCACATGTCAATAAATATAATTTTCCACTCAAGTAATAAGACAATACAAGTACAATGCAATACAATCTATCACGTTTATGAATGCTGATTTTGATGCAACAAAAACTAATAGTGTGCAATTATTTGTTAAATGTCACTTGAGCTTATTTAGCCTATTCATTCTATAATTTTAATTAGGTGAGTGAAATGTTTTTATACATGAAGCGCCATTCATTTGAAAAGCCATTTCATAGCCAGAAATTTGTGATTCTGTTATTCAATTGCCTGTGAAAACTTGCAGATAATTTTATTCAGATTCTTATACTATATCTTTCCTCATAAACCCACTTTCCTTCATGTCCACACATAAAGTACACACATCTTCCTCGCATGTCAATATATATAATTCTCCACTCAAGTGATGACACAACACAAGTAAAATGAAATCAAGTACAATCTATCACGTTTATGAATGCCGATTTTGGTGCTACAGAAACTAAAATTATGCACTTGCTTATGAAATTGCCACTTGATCTTATTTATTCATTCTATAATTTTAAAGTGGATGAGTGAAATATTTTTATACATGAAGCATTGATTTGATAAGACATTTCATAGCCAGAAATTCATGATTCTTGCTAATTCATTTGCTTTCGATAAGTGGTAACTTGCAAAGAATTGTATTCAGTTTCTTACAGTCATAAAGTGCACACATCACTGTCAGCAACATGACATCATTCTCCACTTCTCATCAGGCTTGCCCAACTGAAAATCTCAGCCATGCACCTGCATTCTCCTCTTGTTTGCCATGCAAGACAGAAGCTCAAGTTGAGGAACATGGCAACCACCCAAGCTCATCGCAGAACATTTCTGCTCCGTTAGTGAATCAGGTATATATAGTTCCCAATTCCTTGGAATCAGCAACATTTTGTTTTATTGTTGGTATTTAGGTATAAAGTAAGCAAGTGGATAATTTCCTGTGAAGATTTGTGGAATGAATGTAATTTTGCTCTAACTAGTAATTGTGCAAATGAAATCTAATGATGCTCAATCTGCAAAAATGGATGGCAATCCTCTAAGCATGGATTCCATTCTTGAAATGGACCTCTAGTTCACACAGTGTTGGAAGTTGTGGAATATGCTTGAGCCCATTACATTAAACAGGATTTCCTCACTCTGCTGATGTTTTTGTAATCATATCTATGGAAGATTGGAAAAAGTCTACATGATGTGGAAGAGGACCTGTTCTAGATGAATTTTTTTTGTGTCCCACCAGGCAACAGTAGTTCTTTTATCTTAAAGTTGTCCATGGTCTGTTTTTGTTAACATATTGAGTGCACCCACAGCAGGTAAAGCCCTACTTCATGTGGCATTAGGCTGTTATGAATGAGGAAACAAAATCACTGTAATTATCAGTAAAATATTGAGAATTCGAGCTGTGAAATTCTGCTTCACAATATGAATATTTTTCAGCTCAGTAATTCTGACAATATTGTTTTATACTATAAAAAAAAGTGTACGGCTTTACTGCAAATGGGCTGCAACACATGAGCCAGCCCACAGCCCTATTGGAAATCAGCTTCCAAATTTGAAGGCTCATGTATCTGAAATTAATATATTTAATTTTACATGAGTAATAATTTGCATTACAGTTTCAGTTTTGTTCATGTTGAAAGTCGATATCTCAAATCTATGGCGCAGGTTGAGACCATTTAATTGCAACTCACTTATCTGCTCAGAAGAGAATTAATGCTGAAAGACTCTTGCAGGAACCAGAATAGACTGCTAAATTTAAATTCTCTCTTTTTTATATCTGTCAAAATTTATAATTTTGTTGAGACAACTGAGGGATTTTATGTAAAATCAAAGTTGAAAGTTAAGAGTTCAATGTGGCTGTTATTAATATTGTAGATTATTTTACTCTGCTTTTATCACTAGTGCCAAACTGGTGGGTCATCACTGACATCAGGAGATGCTGAAGACGTCGCTAGCATCTCTGGGGCATCTAACTCCAAGCAAGGCATGAGGCTTGGTTGTTCCCAGCGTGGATTGGTGCCTGCGGGTGCAGGCCAACTGCAGCAACAAACTCGTCAAGAACATACTGGTTCAGGACCCCACCGCTGCTCTGACTGCGAAAACACCTCTAGTTCAGGGAGTGGACTGCAGCAGAAGAATAAAGCAATGCATTTGATAAAAAACTCGATTCAGTGCCAAGCCTGTGGTTATACATGTACCACAAAGAAATTAATGCAAAAGCATATAGCCTGCAAACACTCATGCAGAAGTAAACTACAGTGTCACTTCTGTTTAAATTCGTGTGCCACAAAAGCTAAACTCAAACAACATATTCTCTTGAGGCATCCTTGGGGAAATTCACAAAAATTCGCTGGTCATAAATATGCTGATAGCTGCAAAAAAATCTTGCACAAGCGTGGCCTTTCTGAACAGGCAACAATGAAGAAGTTTGGCTGCTCTGGGTGTGATTTTGCTTGCACTACAAAAAGGAGCCTCAAAAGACATTTTATTCGCAAACATTCATTCAAAAAACCTATTCAGTGCACTGAGTGCAATTATGCTTGCACCACAAAAGGCAGAATGAAAATACATTTTCTCTGCAAACACTCAACAGAAAAGCCTATTAAGTGCTCTGATTGTGATTATGCTTGTACAAGAAAAGGGAGCTTGAAAATACATTTTATTCGCAAACATTCAACTGGAAAACCTATTCAGTGCTCTGAGTGCGATTATGCTTGCACCAGAAAAGGGGACTTGAAAATACATTTTCTTCACAAGCACTCAACAGAAAAGCCTATTAAGTGTTCCGAGTGTGATTATGCTTGCGTTACAAAAGGGAATTTGAAAATACATTTTCTCCACAAGCACTCAACAGAAAAACCTATTCAGTGCACTGAGTGTGATTATGCTTGCACCACAAAAGGGGACTTGAAAAGACATTTTCTTCACAGACACTCAACAGAAAAGCCTATTAAGTGCTCCGAGTGTGATTATGCTTGCACTGCAAAAGGAGACTTGAAAAGACATTTTCTTCACAGGCACTCAACAGAAAAGCCTATAAAGTGTTCCGAGTGTGATTTTGCTTGCGTTACAAAAGGGAATTTGAAAATACATTTCCTCAGCAAGCACTCAACAGGAAAACTTATTCAGTGCACTGAGTGTGATTATGCTTGCACCACAAAAGGGGACTTGAAAAGACATTTTCTTCACAGGCACTCAACAGAAAAGCCTATTCAGTGCACTGAGTGCGATTATGCTTGCATCACAAAAGGGGACTTGAAAATACATTTTCTTCGCAAGCACTCAACAGAAAAGCCTATTAAGTGTTCTGAGTGTGATTATGCTTGCGCTACAAAATGGAATTTGAAACAACATTTACTTTGCAAGCATTAAACAGAAAAACCTGTTCACTGCACTGAGTCTGATTATGCTTGCACATAAATGCACCACAAAAGGTACCTAGCTTGAAAATGCATTTTGACAGAAAAGCCAACTCAGTTCCTTGAGTGTGATTATGCTTGCATGCACCGAAAAAAAACTTGAAAAGACATTTTCCCGGCCAGCTCTCCTCAAAAAAAGCCTCCTAAGTGTGATGATACCTGTATCAAAAATGCTTTTTGAAAACATTATATTCTCCAGACAACTGTTGTGGAAACGTTTTGTTGAACCAAGTGTAAATATGTGTGTGGATGTACGGAGCTATACACAGGAATCAAGTGCAGAAGGCTTGATCTTTTGAGATGACAAACCGAGTTTTGCCGAGTACCCAACCCGAGGCACCCATTGCCACCAAGGAAGAGGGACTTAGCTGTTCATTGTCTCCCAAAGGCGGCTGTTGCTTTGGGCGGCATGGATATTAAGCAGAAGGCTCTTGCTTATTGAGGCCTCAGTGCCACTCCACTGGAATATTAGCGAGCATTTTCCCTGAGGCTTTCATGAGAGGCTGGTCGCCGAGCGTGCCATTGGCGCCCATGCTTCTGGGGTAACTATTTTTCAGGGATGGATTAAATGACGGGTTTCTAACAGATGTATACGCTATTGTATCGTCAAACGTGAGGATGACTTTACCAGTAAATCAATAACTAGAAAACTTTAGATGGTTCGCTGAATTCATTTGTTTGTTGTTGGCAACATCTCCCTAGTTGGGAGATTTTACTGAATAAAATTAGTTTGGGAAACCATCTAATCTCGAATTAATATTGCCGTAAGTTTAAAAAAAGGTATGCATCTTTATAGCTCTCTTATTTACAGAAAGTCTGGTTTATGAATAAGCTTGCGTTTGTCATTAATTTCAGTGCTACCCGACTGACTCATTTATTTTGGTTCCTCAAAGTTGCAACAAAACAAACAAAACTAGGTAACACTTTCAGTCTCATTGTTGAGGTGGTGTGGAACATGTTTAGTTGAACGTCTATTGGAAGTAAATGCTCTTTGTTCATAATGTTTTTTTTCCTAAAGGGAATAATTATGATGCTCTAGAGTCTAGAAGATAATGATAAAAATGAGTAGAGTCGATTAAGAAAAAAAGGTTGGATTGTTATTTCATTCGTTGATTGGAATCGAGATGTTTGTTGACATACTTGCGTGCGATTCATACTCTGTGTTTCATTAGTGCGTTAGTAGATGCATCATTGGGGGTGGTGATTGGGGTGGGTGGGTTGAGCCGTGCAAGGGGATGAGTGGTATGAATAGGTTAACTGGTATAAATGGGGTGGGTGGTTTAAATAATGTGAATTTGTTGACTGGGGCGAGTGGGTTTGTTTGCTGTGAACGGTTGATTAACAAGAGAGAATTGAGTTCAGCCCATCAGTGATGGATCAGCCCCAGGGGCAGAAGGAAGAGTTCACCCCAAGACGGCGAGCCGGCCTTCCCTTGCCGCCCGATCGGTTGCAGTCTCTGTGCACTGTTTTTAAACACAGAAAGAGACAGGCGAATATATTGGAGCATTTGATCCTGAAGCGCCTTTGCAACATGCCTCGACGATTTCACTACACGGACTTCGTAGTTTCACATTAGCATGCGTTATTTTTGTGTGCTTTTTTATTCCATTCGCGTGGGCTAAATTTTGTTTTTAGTTAATTTAATTGATTTTTTATCAAGAAGAGGCCCTTCAGGCGTAAGGCACTGCGTATGGCCCTCCAGGCCATACGCAGTGCCAAGAGTGGGGCGCGTGGAGCGGGAGCAGCCGTAGAGGGAGGACTGTGCCTGAGGATAGATGCACGTAGGGACTTGACCCCATTGGAGCGGAGGGAAGATGAGGCCTTATTCTGGGAAATGAAAGAGAAGCAGGAGGAGTCAAGACGACCGGGGTACAATGATGCCGTGTGGGTGAGTAAAAACGACGGTGGTGAACGTGGGCAAGTACCCGATCCAGGGAGACCCAATGGAGGATGGCAGGTAGACAGCGGGAGATCAGGTGAACAAAATTGTGATGCAGGCACCTGCTCTGTTACGTCTGCGCTTCTGCTGAAGTCCGCGGATGTATCTGGGGTGTTTGGACCGGTGGATTTAAAGTAATAATATTGCTGTATGTTTAATATTAAGTAGCGTATGTATGTATACTCATGGTTTATACAAGGTCCCAGAAGGTTTACTGGAATTTGAAACATTAACAACACCAGAGGCCACTGCTATAAACTAAAAAAAACTGCGTTGTAACACATCCATGCGACAACATTTCTTTTCGCTTCGAGTCACCGACATGTGGAACAGCCTCCCTGATAGCATCGTTGACGCTCCGAGTATGAAAGCCTTCACGAACAGACCAGACGAAGCTATGCAGGAGCATATGTTCAGTCTTAAAATGCCTAGCAAATTACGGACCAGGCAATAAGTCCAGCAACTATCTCAATTAATCGTCAGTTATGGAAAGATCGGGTTCCAAAGGCCGGATCCCTTGTGAATCAAGTCACGAAAAGTACAAGAATCGGCAACTGGCCATGGGCCTATTTCTTCAGTGCCGACATTTCTATTCTATTCCATGCGTTAGTACACAAATGCTGACAGTTTGTTAAACAAGCGATCGGAGTTGGAGGCACTAATTCAACTGCGCAGACCGAGCACGATTGGAATAACCGAGGTTAAACCAAAAAACTCCAGGTTCGAGGTCCAAGAGTGTGAGATTTCAATTCAGGGAAACGAAGTCTTCCAGAACTTGGGAGGTGAGGAAGGGGAGTCTGCTTGTGTGTCAGGAGCGAGCCGCGTTCGTAGAGATTTGCCGAGCGCCTTTGAAGAGTTCGTGTGGGTTGATTGTCAGCTGCCGGGTGATGAAGTTCTTTGCGTAGGTGTTGTTTACAGGAGTCCCAGAAGCACGGAGTCCAACAGTCAAAACTTGAACCTTCTGCTGCGTGCTGTATCTGAATCCAAACCGCATCATTTGCTGTTAATGGGTGATTTCAAGTATCCTGAGATAGACTGGAACAACGAGATTTGTAAGCATGGCGTTGGCCATCCAGCAAGAACTTTCCTCTGCGCAACACAAGAAGCATTCTTAATATAGCACCAGAAAGAAGCTACCAGACTCAGGGTTGGCCAGCGACCAACACTAAACGATCTGATTCTGACAAATAGACCAGACTTGGTGATTGAAATAACCACTACGTCGGCACTTGGGAAGAGTGATCATGCTGTGCTGGTCATTGAGGTGGCTTGCGGCTTTCGGATGCCTCTGGAAAGGAAACGTTACAATTTCGCGAAGACAGACTACGAGGGAATGAGAGGGGCGCTAGGTGATGTGGACTGGGAGGGTGAGATGGGAGGATTGGACGCGAACCAGGCATGTAAAATCTTCACAGACCACCTACACAGAAGTATGGTCAAGTTTGTTCCTATTTCGAGATGAATTGGAGCACCTAGAAAAAAGTGGCTCGACGAGGACACTCTGACTTCAGCCAGAAAAAACATAAGCTATATCGGAGTTGGTAGCAGAGCGGGGCGGGTGAAGACTACGAAGCATGCAAGAAGGCTAAAAATCAAGCAGCTAGATTATTCCGCGTAGCGATCAAGAGGATGCTCGAAGCAACAGTAGCTGCTCAGGCTAAAAGTAACCCCACATCCTTTTGATTATACGTGAGAGCTAATATAATACGTTTAAAAATTACTTTTTAAAGACAACACTTCCAAAGAATCCAGTGTCTCCAATCTTACAGATGAACAATGAATTTCTCATTTAATTTTCGAATATTAAAAAAATTAATTTTTCAATTTTTTTATTATATACTTTTTTTGATATATAATTTTTTTCAAAATTATTTATTCTGTTAATTGATTCATTCATTGCCTCTGACTTCACACAAGTGCGCAAAATTTCAGATCAATTAGACAGTTAAAAGTGTGTCAAATATCAGTTATAAGATTTGTAGCTGACAAAATTATTTTTTCAATTTTTTAATATTGAAAAAAAATTAATTTTTAAAATCATTTATTTTGACATTTGATTCATGCATTGTCTCCAACTTTACACAAGTGTGCAAAATTTCAGATCGATAGGATAAGTTGAAGTGTGTTAAATTTTGATTACAAGATTTGTAGCAGACAAACAACAAGAAGTGAAGTTAAAGAGAAGTGTTGTAAAAAGAAGTCTAAATCAGGAGTTTCCCACTTGAGACGGAAAGATGGGTCGAATACCGTGTCTGAAGAAGAGAAACCAAATGTCATAAACAAATTATTCCAGAGCGTTTTTACTGATGAAGAGGGAGGCGAATTACCGGAGATGCGCGTCTATCACTGAGAGGAAGAGCTGTCGGACTTTAAGATTCCGGGAGAGTAAGTGAGGAAGAGTCTCAAAAGCCTGTAAAATTACAAAGCCTCAGGCCCGGATGGGTTGAGCCCCCGCATGTTGGCAGAAATCGCCCGGCCTGTTGCCATTATCTTCAGAAAATCCCTGGAGTCGAACACTGCTCCAGACGCCTGGAGAAAATAAAGGGGAACCCCAGTTTTCAAGAAAGGGAGTCGCCTTCAGGCTAGCAATTATTGGCCAGTTAGCCTGGCATGTGTCCTCTGTAAATTTATGGAAGCCCTCGTGAAAGAACGGATCATGGCACATGTACACCGAAACAACATCGTCAGCAAAAAACAGCATGACTTCACTAGAGGGCGTTCGTGCGTCACACAGCTGCTCGAGACGCTGGATGTATGGACAGAGGTCTTGGACGATGGGGGCTCTATAGATGCCATCTACATGTATAGCGGTTTCAGCGTTTATTAGGCCGGAGGCCTGTCGTCGATTCTCAACATTGCAGAACATCCACAGCTTGTTGCGGGCTTCAACTCGCAACTCACTGCTTCAATTTTGCTTTGCTTAACCGCCCGGCCTCCTCGACGATTTTGACCAGACACTGGCGCACAGAGCTGGGTTCGAACCCGCGCCTCTCTGCGCCAATCTGGGTACTCTTAGCTTTAACCACTGGGCCACCCTACCCCTTGGACTACATGAAAGCATTAGACAGCGTTACACATTGACGCTTGGTGGCAAAGATTTAAGCCCACGTCGTTAAAGAGAGAGTGCTGGAATGGGTTGAGGATTTCCTGAAATACCGGAAGCAATGTGTAATTGTCGACGGCTTAGAGTCGAGTTAAGCTGATGTGGTGAGCGGGATCCCTCAGAGGAGTGTCCATATGCTTCGTTCTGTAAATCAACGACCTGCCCCGGCATGGCCGGAGCTGAGTGAAGCCCTTTGCGGAGTCTCCATTAAGCCGTGGTCGAGAGCGGACGCTCGTGCTCGTGGTCCCAAATTTCTAAATTTTTAACTTTTTACTGTGCCGTTTTCGGAACTCTTTTCGCATTTTTTTTATGATCCGTGCCAGAGAATAACCGAATTTCAGTTCAGTTCAGTGAAGTCAGTAAAAAGAGAGTGCAAATTGAATGAACAAGCCAAACAAGTGAAAGTGCTTTCATTTTTAAATAACGCGGACTTGTAGAGTCAGTGAGGGTTGCCGCGAGGGTAACGCCCACGCCCTGGCCCACGCGGGACAATAAGCCTTTGTTCTCGCGCCTACCTCTTCCTAGCCGAGCTCTTCCCTTGAACACCTAAGCCGCTGAGATCGCCGCTCTCTGAAAGCCGCTTGCTCTCAAGTCTGTAACAATTTTGAGCAATCAAACAATTTGTACAATTTTTACTCAACTTGATTTCGGTTATTTAACTTGTGTTTATCTAGCTCTTGCATTTCAAGATGGCTGGTCAGAGAGGAAAAAGATTAATTGAGAAGGCTTCCAGTCCTGTTAAACCGAATGCGAAGATCAAATCGCAAAATGAGCGAGAGGAAATTTGTAAATTTTGCAAGCTGGTTTCGATTAACGTCAATGACGCTACAGTGGCCTGTGATCGTTGCCGGGATATCGTCTGCAACATTTGTGCAAAGTTGAGCAAGACAGACTGCGCGGTTATTCGTAAAAACAAGTCAGTACACTGGTATTGCCAGGACTGCCAACAACCTGCACTTAGCGCTGTAAAAAGCGAAAAAAATGTGGAAGAGAAGTGCTCTTCTATGTTTTCTGTCTTTAAGGCCGAAATGGAAGAAACCATCAAACAGGAGTTGAGAAAGAGTGCCAAAATGGAAGAGAACCACAAGAAAGAACTGAGCTTGTTGCGTAGCGAATTACTCTCGTTACGAAACGAGCTGGTGGAAATGAAAGCTAATCTGCACACAACAGAAAATAAAGGACCAGGCAATAAGTCTAGCAGCTATCTCAATCAATCGTCAGCTATGGAAAGATCGGGTTCCAAAGGCCGGATCCCTTGTGAATCAAGTCACGAAAAGTTCAAGAATCGGCAACAGGCCATGGGCCTATTTCTTCAGCGCCGACACTTCTATTCTATTCTATTCTATACCAAGGCACGCAGTGACGACGCAGTTGCCTTAAAACCTTCATAGTGACCTGGACCGTCTGCACAAGTGGTCGACAGCTTCCACCCCAAAAAATGCTGCGTCCAGCATCTGGGAAATCAAAGCACCTTATATAAAATGAAGGGAAGGGATGCTCTGGGTAATGAGTTTGTAACGCCGCTGAAGGAGAGTGAATCGGAGAGACTTGGGAGTGCTGGTTGATAGAAACCTAAAATTCAATTTTCATGTAGCACTAATAGCTGAGAAGGCAAACATGATTTTGGGCGTTGTCAAGCGCACTTTCGATTTTCTTGCGCCGGAAACATTCGTTCAGCTCTTCAAGTCTCTTGTTCGGCTAGTTCTGGAATACAGACACTCTGTATGGCAACAGCGACACAAGACCTTCTGCGCCGACCAGGAAGGTGTCCAGAGAAGAGGTGTCGAGAGAAGAGAAAATCTCAAAGACAAGCCTTGCCAGGAGCTAGGCAGACTTTGGGCCTGCCTAGCTGGGAGCGCCGCAGACTGAGAGGGGATATGATCGATGTCTTCAAGTATGTTCATAGCCTACGATGCTGACCGACCGAAGCTGCATCGTCACAGCGGAAGGGATATACGAGGTAACAGCCTGAAGCTCGCCGAAGAACGCAGCAGAAGAAAGGTAAGATCAAGCTTATTATTCTCTGTGTCAGTATGGAACGGCTTTCCGGACAGTGTCGTAGCTGCTCCCTCTGAGCGCTTTCAAGAGCAGGCTTGACAATCACAGAGTTGACCGACCGGGCCTCTTCGATTCTGAGCGCTACCATTTGCCTTCCAGTTTTACTGCCGCCCGGAGGGGCATCGTCTGCACGTGTAACCTAATGAGGGCGGCTATGCTGGGGTTAATTGGCTCGAGTGCCTACTACACCGACACAATCACGTAATAAGATATGGATAATTAGGTCGATGGAGAGTACACAAGGAAAATTTACACACAGCAAATTTTAAAGCAAAACATTACAAAAAGCGATAACAGGCCAAAATTTACATAAATTTTAATGCCTACGTAACTCAATTATACTGATTTATTGAGTCTGATTTGATCCGCGAAAATTTCCGGCATCGCGTACGCACAGCTCTTAGAAAGCTTTGTTGTGGTCCTTGTTGAGGAGAGTCAGCTGTGTTCATGATTTTCATCGAGTAACATCTAGTGTGTTTCGTCCGTGACTGCGTGACTGAGTAAAGTTAACTTACAAATGATCTTTTATAAATATCCTATAACTTGGATTATACTTCTATATATCTATACTACCGATTACCACGGGTATATAAGCGAAGGTTTCGTCCAGACTGAAGAACCTGGGGGTTACCTGGCAGGCTGGCTGACTTTCTTGCCCTTCTTCCCTGAGACTCTTAGTGAGCCCAGTCCTCTCTTCTTCTGAGTCTAAGTGTTCTTTTTATGAGATTATAAAGAAAAGAGGCAGTAGCTGGGAGGAGGTCTGTGAGCCAGCCTTGGTTCAAATTTAATAAGTTACAAACCCAGCATTGTGTCTCAGTATCACAATTTTCTTAAGGATATAATATTTTTCATGAGACTTTGGCTTTACCATTATGTAAGCTTGTTACTTTTTGTTATGTTTATTTTTTATATATCTAATGTATAGTGTTTACTTTGTCCCTGTATAGGTTCAATATGTTAGAATTCTCACATAGTTTTGTCATTTGTGGTTTGAATATAATTATGTAAACATTGTATTTTCTATCAGTATCAAAATTATTTTGACTTTGTTTTGCATTAAATATTTGCTATTTAAGCTTTTTATCAGCCTTCAGTCTGGAATTCTAAGAATGGAAGTTCACTTATAAAAAAGCTTTCCGCCAAACTTCCAAAGACCCAAGCCACTGTGCAGAGAGTGAATGAAAATTGCAAGATCTTTGGCGCAGGGTGGAATTCTAGAAATGGAGGTTCACTTATAAAAAAGCTTTCCACCCAAGGTGGAATGCTTTCCTTAGATACAGTCAACAGTGCTCTGCCAGTGCCAGGTGACTGACTAATGACTATAAAAGATAAGGAGGATCAAAAGTGGACAAACTGTTTCAATTGTATAGTACCTCAGATTTGTTATAAAATTGTTTGAATGTCTCTTGTTTGATAGATATTCTCTATTTTTCTTTTATTTAATGGATTTCTTGAAATTTTTCCAGGCTTTTTGTTTGTAATGATCAAGTATAAGTTAAGTATTTTGTTAACCAGTACTGTAGTACATATACCATATTTGGGGGCGGGGCTTATGGGCACAACCAATCACAGCTGGAAAGCATCCCAATCAACCAATCACAGCTTGAAAGCCTCCCCAGCAACCAATCACAGCTAGAAAGCAGATACCTAACATTACAACTCCATTAACCAATCACAGCTGGAAAGCTGGGAGGGGCTAAAATCACAATCCCATAAACCATTTACAGTTGAAAAGTGATAGGATATGTATAATGTATATAATAAAATGGACTGGAAGTGGAAAGTTCCTGGACTTTCCAACCTTTCAGGTCCTGCTTTCCAATATGCTATGTGTACTGATTAATTTAATATCTCTCTAGAATTCCACACTGCTTTGGCGATGCTTCAGTAGCAAAATTTACACCTTCAGAAGATCTTGCCGACACATTTAGATTGTAATTCTTACATTTAATATATTTCTCAGTCTTCGGCCAACTATTTAAAAAAAGTAAGGTTTCTGGTACGTTGGATGGATCAGGATGCAGTAAAGTTTGTCCGGAAATCGGTTGCAATGAGTTCCCACCCAAAATAATGTAAACAAAATGTAGTTGCGGTCACATTAGAGCGATCAGACTGCAATAACTGCATCATCACACATAATCAGTTGACACTTGCTGTACAATCGGGCTGTTTTTAGGGTAAAATTAGTTATTTTAGGTAACACGTGCATGCAACCTTGTAAATAAGTTTGTGGCTTATAAATAAGTAGTTTTTCTTTACTCAGCATAAATGGCTTTTCATTAAAAATTACCCAGCGATGCATTTTGAAAATGTTCGGTGACACTTTGGGCTTAAAAACCCATATATTGGCGACGCTGCTTCCATCTTCTGCACCCTGGGACCCAAGGTGGTCTGGTGGAAAGCTTTCCTTACATTAGTTACATAGTGCTCTGCCAGATGACTGACTATAAATGGAAATAAGGATCAAATATGGGCAATTACCAGGGCAAACTGTTTCAACTGTATAGTACCTCAGTTTTGTCATAGACTTGTTTGGATAACTCTTGTCAAGTATGGAATTTTAAGAAGTGCTTGGGCATTTAGCCCCCAACACTTGGTAATACTTTACATTAAGTGCATCCAAAAAAGGTTGTTTTTTTAATTATATGTTTTTTGGAGTGTAGATTAAGAAGCTGAAATCTGTTTTTGGCGGTCGGCATTGGAAATTTTTAATGGAACCTGTTCCTAAATGGACCTAACCTGCGAGGTTTTCATTGATTGGCTAGGTTTCTCAGGCCGCCGGACGGACTCCAAACATAGAAAAAACCTAGCCGATCAACGAAAACCTCGCAGGTTAGGTCCAGTTAGGAACAGGTTTCATTAAAAATTTCCTATGCTGACCGCCAAAAACGGATTTCAGATTCTTAATCTACACCCCAAAAACATATAATTAAAAAAACACCCTTCTTTGGATGCACTTAATCTAAAGTAATACCCAGCACTTCAGCAGGCAGACCATAATTGCATAATTCTCCAACCTTGAGGGCAAGGAAGGGTGTGCAATTCAAGGACCCTAGAGGGAAGGTGGTATTAGTGCTGCAAGTGCCAGGTTTAGAGACCTAGATATAGGTTTTTTTGCTTGCCGGAGTGGCAGAGTCCCACTAGGTTTCTACGTTTTTCATTAGGAAACATTTTAATCTATAGATGTTTTTTTAGAATGGTCCACTGAAAGCATAAATATATCAATAATTATTGTCAAGAAAGGGAGAACTGCTAGGAGACTTATGCGATGGAGCCATTTACAGGAGATATGAAATTAGATTACTGGATGCAAGACATGCTGAATTGCTGATAAAGCTGTTGTTTATGAGGGTAATGAGGAGGAATGATAATTGTAATATGTTGAATGACTGTTCAAAAAAATTGAAAGTATGTTAAATTGTACTTTATTTCCATCCCTATATATCCATATTCATTCATATGTGAACAACAAGGATTTATTACTATAAATTACATGTTAGTAGAAATCTAGGTTTTTTATTCGATTATAGATTTTTGTAAAGTATAATCTAGGTTTTTCAAAAAATAGTTGCTGGCACTGGCAGCAGTGGCTGGTAGTGGTATTCTTGTAAGTGGTAACTTGGGAAATAGTTGGTTACCTACCGTTTTGCTTAAAGGTAGCGCCGCTTAAATGTAGCGGCGCTACATTTAAGCAATTGTAGTGGTAGCGGTAGGTAGCGCCCATAGTGACAAAGGAGAACGTCTTTTTATTTAGGGGTCAACAAAAGTTTTCTGAACGAGAATTAAGCCTATGCTCTTTCGCAAAAATTTTGGAATGCTAATTTTAAATGGCAATTGTGCAACATCATTAAATAAAATAGATAATCTTATCACATTCAACATTTTGTCAGACCCAGAACGATTCTGATTACTGACGTTCGGAGGGCTGATGCACATCAACTAATCTTCATCGAATGCAGCTTGAGAGAGTTTTACCTACATTCTCACCTGGCCAGAGCAGGATGTGCACTGAGACTGAAGTGCTTACACCCATGCACACACCATAAGCAGAGCTGCAGCTAGCCCTGTGGACAAGACATGCTGCGCATGTACACGTTCGCTCGCTCTAGCTTTGAACTTCAAGTTTGAAGGCTTTAGAATCAGTTAATTTTGAACGTTTCTGAACAAGATTTACGACCTGCTTCTCTAAACAACAGAAAAATAACACTATTTCCCGCTCCAAGAACCAATGGAAAAAATTATCTGATAGAAAATTTCTTACCCTTTACGATGAGCTAAGAATTTTGTTGTTTTTCATAACTGTTATTGACAATTTTACGAAAACTTCAACATTCTTAGGTGAAAATTGTTTGCCTCTTGAGGCCTGAGCGAGCTCATTTTGTAATCTCTTGCAGCGTGGAGCTTCCGCATGACTGCGTAGAGACGCAAACAGCTTTAAAAAATGTCATCAGAATTTTATTCACGGATTAATTTGAACGCTATGTACATTGATTCAGCACAGAAACATACTCCAAGAATAGCTTAGGTATTCATTTAAGCATTATCTATAATATTCTCTACCCAAAAATATGCCGTCAAGCAAATTCATTTTTGCAGCATATTATATGATAACGATTATGGGTTAACAGATTCATTACACACTGTCATCATAATTATCATATATTTACCATAATTTTTTATGCACAATTCTCATCATTTCTTTGTTCACAAATGCTCAATTTTTATCATATTCGCTCATCCTCCATTGTTCACACGTTCTGCAGTGCCCCTAATTAACACATTCCCCATTATGCCTTCAATCGAATATTCTC